GTAGTTCGTCTCCGAGGACCAGTTTGCCGTATCGTCCTGTTGCCGTCTTGAAAGACCTTAGAATGTGCAGGAAGTATGTGGGGGTGACTTTCAAACAGGCCAAGGAAATAGGAATGACAAGTCATGGTAGTTGGGCAGGATCAAGGGCTCAGAGTAAGAGGCTGTAAACCTCACTTGTGTCATTATTTTCCCCTGGGCAACATGGCAAAACCCTGTCTACTAAAAATACATGCACCTGTGGTCCCCGCTACTTGGGAGACTGAGGAAAGAGGGTCACTTGAGCCCAGGAGGTCGAGGCTGCAGTAAGCTGAGAATGTGTAAGTGAGCGAAACACCTCATGGGGACCCGGTTTATTGGGTTTTTGGTGGGGAGAGTAAGCAAATGGAAGAGAAGGACGGCTTCCACCAGCACAAGGCCTTCTTTGATCTGGTCCAGCCTAGCCCTCCCCTCTAGTCCCTTACCACAACCTGACTGGCCCTGATATCCTTGACTGTAAACTTCTCCGGCAGCTTCTGATCACTTCCTACCCACGCCCTGCCTGTAAATTTCCCTGACCCCATCTCCACTGAGAAACCTTCCCCGAGTCTGCTCATGCCTAGACTTTTTTCTTTTTTAATTTTTTTTCCAGCTCTAGTCTTCCCCTCAGAGTAGGGGTAGATACTGAACATGGCCAGACTTTTATATCCCACTGACCTCCCCATCCAGTGCCTCCCTGTGTCACCTGTCAGGATGTAATACAATGATCTGCTTCTGTGGTTGTCTTCACTCTCAGACTACCTTGTTGAAGGCATTGATTCTCTAATTAATCATTTTGTTCATCCTTGGCATGTAGTAGTTACTCAATAAACATGTATTGGGAGGCTAATGGGACTGAGTGTGTCAATCAGGGTCCTGGCAGAAAACAAACAACATATTGGAATTGAGTAATTTAATAATAAACAAGACTTTTTATGAAGTTGTGAGCAGTGTGTGGGAAACCCCAGGCCCAAAGGGTGAAGAGTTACTAGAATCCAAAGAGAAAATTGTGTGGAGAGGGCAGTCTGACAGAGGCCTTGACTACAGGGATGCAGCCAGCCTGCAGAAATCCCACAGGGAGAAAGATGGAAGCAGTTGACAATTCCAGCTTTACTCTTCTCTGCTCAGATCTTCTGCCCCAGGTCTCCCAGGGGCTAACCAGAACCTAATCAGAGACCATAGGACAGTTCATGTAATCCGTCCCAGGTCAGCTTCCTGGGACACAGAGCAGAGAAGAGGAGAGTGAGAGCTGATCTGTAGGAGTAAATGGAAACTATCCTTGAATTTTCCAGTTTTATTTTTTCAGACATTCTTTGTTCCTGAGTGCTGCAAACATTCCCTGTTTCATCTTACACTGATTATTTTCCTCTGTGAACTTTAGCTTGTAATTCAATGACATCATTGTATCCCTGTCCCTCTCCCTAAAAGTATCTAGTCTTTGTCGCCAATTAATGTTTTCACCTCCTTGACCTAACACTTTAACTCCACTCCTGAGTTAACTTTGCTTCATAGCAGCAGCAGATGAGAATCTCTGAGATTCCAGACCCCATATAACAAAACATTTTAGGAAGATGAAAACATGGCCAAATGGTACCAATGGTATTGAATCATCCTGAAGTTATATGTAAAACTCAGAGAATTTCAACTTTTAAGTTATCTTTTAAGTACCTAACTTTGATATTAAATAAAACTGTCACTGAGATGGGGAACATTTTCAACAAATATTATTGTTAACCTTTTAATGAATTATTTTTCTTTTTGAGACGGTGCCACTCTGTCACCCAGGTTGGAGTGCTGTGGCACGATCTCGGCTCACTGCAACCTCCACCTCCTGGATTCATCCTCCTACCTCAGCCTCTGAAGTAGCTGGGACCACAGGTGTGTGCCACCATGCACGGCTAATTTTTGTTTGTTTGATAGAGACAGGGTTTGACCATGTTGCTCAGGCTGGTCTCCAGCTCCTGAGCTCGGGAGATCTACCCTCCTCGGCTGCCCAAAGTGCTGGCATTGTAGGCGTGAGCCACCATGCCCACCTATGAACTTTAAAAACAGAGTTTTTGGCTGGGCCTGGTGGCTCACGCCTGTAATCCCAGCACTTTGGGAGGCTGAGAAGGGCGGATCACAAGGTCAAGAGATAGAGACCATCCTGGCCAACATGGTGAATCTTGTCTCTAATAAAAAAAAAATACAAAAATTAGCTGGGCGTGGTGGTACATGCCTGTAGTCCCAGCTACATGGGAGGCTGAGGCAGGAGAATTGCTTGAACCTGGGAGGCAAGGTTGTAGTGAGCTGAGATTGGACCACTGAACTCCAGCCTGGCGCCTCTGGCAACAGAGCAAGACTCTGTCTCAAAAAAAGAAAAAGAGTTGTTAAATGATAGAAGTTTCCCTCTGGAGATGGTAAGCAGTTTGTCACCAAAGTATCTAATCAGACTCAGTAACCTGTCAGGAATGCTATTGGGTGATTCCTGATGTTGCGGGTAGGGGAGAGCATTGAAGAAAACAGCCTTCCTAAAAACCTAGTTGCTAGAAACATGTTGATGCAGAATTGTTTGCCCCTGGCAGAAATGTAGAATATAGAGTAAGGAGACATGTTGTGAGGGGTGTGGAAAGAAAATCCAAATCCCATCCATCAGGAGATGAGGCATCGGGTGCCCTAGATGCCATGTCTATTGAACTTCCACGAGGTAATGTTGCATTTCTTCTGGTGCACACAAAAGTCCAGTATGTTACCAGAAAGTAGTAATAAGCTGCACCCAGTGGTTTGCTTTGTGAGATAAACAGACCGTTTTTCACTTCTGATTGTTGACTGTTGGTTCCTCTCTGTTTGCCCCTCCACTCTCCACCCTTTGCCTTGTCTTGTGCTCTGGCAGGCTGACGCCTACAGACTGTGTCATCTGACCCTCCTTGTCCTCTGGCTTCCAGTTGGGTTTGGCTGATGGGTGGTGGTGACTGGGGATTAGAAAGCAGGAAGCCAGGTCAGCCTATTTATTCCACTGGGCCACCTCGTTGGGACATGGGTTTGCAGTGGTTGCATTCCTCTTTGCCATGCGACTTTCAAGTGTCCCCTCCTCCACAGCTGTGGCTGTCAGAGGGTTCCGGTAACACCATCACCACTTGCTTCCACGTGTCTATGGGTGGTATTGGCCTCCTGCTGTTGCTTTACCCTGGTCTTCACCACTCTTTTCCAAGTTCCTTTAAGTCTGTTGCATCTCTGTAAGTAATCCATTTATTAAACTCACTTCAATTAAATCCTTTGTGCAAACCCGCTGTTTCTTGCAGGACCAGATACAAGTGAAAATATACTCTGACCTTATATTACTGTTCCCCTAGACTTTTTTCCATGCCTTCTCAGGACATATGATGGAGGAACGGACGCAGTGAGAGAAAATCACATGCAGGAGGGATGAGTTCACACGCTTTGCCACATTCTCTTTCCTCCCTTCTGCTGGTTAAGAGATTTGGACCAATGGCTGAGCGTGGTGGTTTATGCCGTAATCCCAGCACTTCAGGGGGCCGAGGCAGGCAGATCATGAGGTCAGGATTTCGAGACCAGCCTGGCCAACATAGTGAAATTCTGTCACTACTAAAAATACAAAAAAATTGCTGGGCTTGGTGGCAGACGCCTGTAATTCCAGCTACTTGGGAGGCTGAGGCAGGAGAATCGCTTAAACCCAGGAGGCAGGGGTTGCAGTGAGCCGAGATCGTGCCATTACACTCCAGCCTGGATAACAAGAGTGAAACTCTGTCTCAAAAATAAAAAGAATTTGGAGCAGAAAGCTGCCCCAGATGACCAAGACAAAGGAACTCCCTGCCAGCATCATGACTCATGAGGCAAGCCAAGTCCTGGAAGTGGTCAGAGCCTCCTTGGTGAAATAAAGCAAGGATTACTGTTTTGAAAAGAACACGGTCAAACCCATATTAATGGGAAGAATAAGCTTTCTTCATGTGAGGCTGGGCTTTGTTGTCTGAAACAAACACCTGCATTGCTGAGGGATTTTTCTTCTGCAGGAACTGGAGAGATTAGACCCTGCTCTCACCGTGGGGAGCCTGGCTATAGAAGGAGCCTCTACCTGTTCTCTGACTCAAGAGGCTCTGGGTCCACCTGCCCCATGTGGGCAAGGCTGGGGCAGTGGAAGTTTTATTGTCTCTTCCTCTGGGAAGAGGCAGGAAGAAGCTCTCCTACTAAAGGAAGACAGTAAGACACTGGACTGATAAGCAGACAAGGATAAGAGGAAGGTGTCTGGGAGAATAGGGAGTGAGCAGAGCATCTGTGAGAGGCATTCAAACGAAAGACCTAACTCAATAGAGCCTCTTCCATGCTACATGGGGAGCATGGGAGATGACAAGAAAAGTAAGTTGGACCTAGGCATGACTTCTGTTCCCTGCACACTACATACTGCTTTGTAAGACCTGCCTGACCCTCTATGAACTCCAAGTATCTGAGACAGGTTCCAGTCAATTTTTTTTGTCCGTGCTTTCTTAGGACATACGATATATTAAGAATTTAAAAATACTTCTGTGAACTCCAAGTATCTGAGACAGGTCTTAGTCAATTTAGAAAGTTTATTTTGCCAAGGTTAAGGACATGTGCCCATGATATAGCCTCAGGAGGTCGTGAGGACATGTGCCCAAGGTGGTCGGGGCACAGCCTGGTTTTAGACATTTTAGGGAGACAAGAGACATCAATCAATGTATGTAAGATGTACATTGGTTCAGTCTGGAAAGGCGGGACAACTTGAAGTGGGGAGGAGGCTTCCAGGTCATAGGTAGATAAGAGACAAAAGAAAGTTGCATTTTTTGTTTGTTTGTTTCTGATTAGCCTTTTTTTTTTTTTTTTTTTTTTTTTTTTTTTTGAAGAAAGAGAAAGAAAAAGAGGGAAAAAGAGAAAAAAAAAGAGGGAAAAAGAGAAAAAGAGGGAAAAAGAGAAAAAGAGGGAAAAAGAAATATTACTTCATTCTTAAAATGGGTATCAATCATGGCCGATCAATATTTTGTGTGTTTAAAGTGGATAATGTATATTTTGTGTGTTTAAAATGGAGAGCTCTATTGAGTTTATTTGTTCTGGATCTGAGTTCAAGTCCTGGATATCGTTATCAATTTTCTGTCTCGTTGAATCTAAATCTCATTATGGGTCTTATGTATCTGGGTGTTAAAATCTCTTATTATTACATTACTCCTTTTACCCTTGTATCCTTGTAGCTTTGAAATCTATTTTATTAATTGTGAGAATTGCAACTCCTACTTTTTATTTATTTATTTTTGCTCTCCGTTTAATTGGTAAGTTTTTTTCCAACCCTTTATTTTGAGTCTTTGTATATCTTTAGATATACCGTTAGATTTTGTCTGTATCTTTTGATTGGGGGATTTCGTCGATTTAAATTTAGGGTTACTGCCATTTGATATTAACTGGCTATTTTATCCTTTCATTGATGTAAATTCTTCTTTATGTTAATGCTCTTTACTTTTTGGTGTATTTTTAGAAAGGCTCATACTGGTTGTTCCTTTCTATGTATAATGCTTCTTTTAGAAGTTCTTGTAAAGCAGGCCTGGTGGTAATAAAATCTCTGAGTACTTGCTTGTTCCTAAAAGATTTTATTTTTCCTTCAATTGTAAAGCTTAAATTGGCAGGATATGAAATTCTGGGCTGAAAGTTCTGTTCTTTAAGTATATTGAATATTGGCCCCCACTCTCTTCTAGCTTGTAGGGTTTCCACTGAGAGATCTGCTGTAAGCCTAATAGGCTTTTCTTTATGGGTAACCTGATCTTTCCCTCTGGCTGCCCTTAATATTTTCTCCTTCGTTTCGATCCTGGTGAATCTAATGATTATGTGCCTTTGGGTTGGTCTTCTTGAGGAATATCTTTGTGGTGTTCTCTGTATTGCCTGGGGTTGAATAGTGTCCTGCTTTGCTAAATTAGGAAAATTTTCCTGAATAATATCCTGAAGAATATTTTCCAGCTTGAATTCATTCTCTCCATCACATTCAGGTACACCAATCAAACGTATATTAGGTCTTTTCACATAGTCCCATATTTCTTGGAGACTTTGCTCATTCTTTTTTATCCTTTTTTCTCTATTCTTGTCTTGTCGTTTTATTTCATTGAGTTGGTCTTCGACCTCTGATATCCTTTCTTCTACTTGATCCATTCGGCTATTTAAGCTTGTACATATTTCACTAAGTTCTCGTGTTGTATTTTTCAACTCCATAAGTTCATTTGTATTCCTCTCTATATTGTCTATTCTTTTCACCATTTCATCGAACCTTTTTTCAAAGTTCTTAGTTCCTTTACATTGGGTTAGAACAAGTTCCTTTAACTCCCAGAAGTTTCTCATCATCCACCTTTTAAAGCCTATTTCAGATAATGGAACACAGTCTTTTTCCATCAGGACTTGTTATGCTGCTGATGAGTCCTTTTCCATCAGGGCTTGTTCCATTGCTGATGAGTCCTTTTCCATCAGGGCTTGTTCCGTTGCTGATGGGTTCTGATTTTGGGTATACCCGGCCTTCTTAGGCTGTTTTTTTCCCTTCATTGTAGATGACCCGCCTTTCTAATTAGGTTTCTGAGTCGACATCCAATGTATTGATTCCCAGTGCTGGGATCCGAGCAACCCACTGTGGCGGCCTAAATAGCAGCGATAAGACTGATGGTGCTCTTCTGCCCGGGAATCTCTGGTCTGGCTTCCCTCTTGAGTCCGCAACAAGCGGCTCTGACTTCCTGGAGCTCCAAACTCCGGTCAGTAGGGGAAGCAGTCCCGTTTGCTCTGCATGAAGAGCTGCTGCGCCGAGGCGCCGGCAAAACCGCTGAGGCGGCCACAAGAGTCGTGCTGGCGACCCGTGGGGGCTCCTCCACTGGGAATCGGCTGATCCGTGAGTGACGAAAATTTGTCTAAGTGTGGCATCGTCTAGTTCTCTGAGCTTTCACTGGGAGCTACAATCCCGAGCTGTTAGTGATCGGCCATCTTGGATCCCTGATTAGCCTTTTCAAAGGAGTTGATCAGATATGCATTTATTTCAGTGAGCAGAGGGATGGCTGGATAGAATAGGGAGAAAGTTTTGCCCTGGGCAGTTTCCAGCTTGACTTTTCCCTTTAGCTTAGTGTTTTTCTTTCACACTTTCATCACCATCCAGTGCAAGTTTGGTTTAAGGAAAACTGGCAAGGCAGGAAGCACTCAGGACAGACATTGGTAGGTCTTCCTAATCATCTCCCTCCCCTTTTTTTTTTTTTTTTTTGAGACAGTTTTTCCCTCTGTCACCAGGCTGAGTGCAGTGGCATGATCATAGCTCACTGCAGCCTCAACCTCCCAGGCTCAAGCAATCCTCCCACCTCAGCCTCCCAAGTAACTGGGAGTACAGGTGAGTGCCACCATACTCAGCTGATTTTTCATATATATTTTTTTAATAGAGACAGTTTCCCTATATTGCCTGGGCTAGTCTTGAACTCCTGGACTCTATGGATCCTCCTGCTTCAGTCTCCCAAAGTGCTGGGATTACAGGTGAGTCACCAAGCCTCTTCCTAATCATCTCGCATCTTCCTAATCATGTGGCCAGATAAAATTAAAAGGACCCCACCCTGGTCCTTTCTCCCCAGTCCAGGCATTAGTAGGTAGAGTCCGCTCTAGACAGAGTCCGATCTTTATCCAGGCAGAAGAGAATTAGGGTTAAATCCTTGATTCCCCAATTCTCATCTACCACCTTTACCCCATAGGTTAGCAGAAAATACCCAGTTGGGGAAGAAAATAATGGTGCTTGGTCACACCTAGGTTCTATTTATTTTAGAGCCCACACTCATGCAAATTTATAAACCCTAGGCTAAAATATAAGCTCCTTCAAGGATCTTCAGCTCTTCAAAGACAGATTTGGTCTGTTTTACTTGCCACTGTTCTTCCACCCTATCGTCTAAAAATGTACCTGGGATTTTTTTTTTTTTTTTTTTTTTTTTAGACGGAGTTTCGCTCTTGTTACCCAGGCTGGAGTGCAATGGCGTGATCTCGGCTCACCGCATCCTCCGCCTCCTGGGTTCAGGCAATTCTCCTGCCTCAGCCTCCTGAGTAGCTGGGATTACAGGCACGCGTCACCATGCCCAGCTAATTTTTTTGTATTTTTAGTAGAGACGGGGTTTCACCATGTTGACCAGGATGGTCTCGATCTCTTGATCTCGTGATCCACCCGCCTCAGCCTCCCAAAGTGCTGGGATTGCAGGTTTGAGCCACCGCGCCTGGCCCCTGGGATTTGTTTTGAGTAGGTATAGTACAACACGCAAACACAAAATGATTGCAGTGAAGGAAGGAGGTTTTTTTATGTTCACAGTCCCCTAGAAACAGGAGGCAAGGCATGCAGTCAGGGCCACACAGGGAAACACGGAAGTCAGATGGGTAGGCAGAAAGAGCAGAAGCCTTTATTGTGGTTTTTGAAAGGAGGAAAGGGGAAAGCAAAGTAAGCAAGCGGAACAACCTTATGGTTGGACAGTTTGAATAATTTCGGCAGACCCTGCAGTGATCGCATGAAAGGAGGTAGGTTGGGGCTTGGAACCCTGTTAGTTGGTTTGGATATCAAAGATGTGCTGGCAGGCAAACAGTCATCTCTAGGAATTAGTAAACTCTGGGAGGGGTAGTTCCCCAGGTCCACAAGGCTCCACATGCCAGAGATCTAAGAATACAGACAATATCTTTATTATAGCATAGAACAGTTGTCAACAGAAAAGAGGCCTTTAAAAACACATTCATGCATTGAGTGACAGATTGATGAGAAGTTTACAGAGCCTAAGACAGAGAATTAGCAAGGAAAGAAATGCCCTGGCACATTTTTCTTACAATCAAATGTTATAAGACATTGGATTATTTGGATGGCACATTATAGAATGTAAAGAACTGGGTTCTACTATTATTTTATTTATTTATTTGAGAAGGTGTTTTGCTCTTATAGCCCAGGCTGGAGTGCAATGGGGCGATCTCGGCTCACTGCAACCTCTGCCTCCCGCGTTCAAGTGATTCTCCTGTCTCAGCCTCCTGAGTAGCTGGGATTACAGGCATGTGCCACCACATCTGGCTAATTTTTTTGTATTTTTAGTAGAAATGGGGTTTCACCATATTGGTCAGGCTGGTCTTGAACTCCCGACCTCAGGTGATCTACCTGCCTCAGCCTCCCAAAGTGCTGGGATTACCGGCTTGAGCCACTGTGCCCAGCCTTGGTTAATACTGTTATTATAAAGTAGCCATAAACATTGTTTTATCTTTGGAGAACTTTTATTGGATGCTTTCTTGTTTGACTTTGTAATAACAGGAATAAATGTTCTAATTATAATCTCTATCACATGCATTTTTTTAAAGGGCATTCACAGGCAGAGTATCTCAGAATTTTGGCTTATAGATCTGAAGGCCTTATTGAAGTTTGAAGGAATCATGCATATCCAAAAAGAACTCTGAATGTAGACCGGAAAGGCCCTCTTAATAGGTCCACTGTTTGGCTAGATAAATTTTACCTACAAACTTATCTTACACTTTAGTGGATCTTAGGATTACAATTTCTTTTTTTTGGGGCAGGGGGAGGAAGGAATGAAGGGAAGAAGGAAGGAAGGAAGGGAGGAAGCGGGGACGGAGGGAGGGAGGGAAGGGAATGAAGGAAATCAAGCAATGAGAGAGATATTGCTGACCTGGATCTAGAGGTTTACAAGTTGATTTCTTTTTTTTTTCGAGAGAAGGAAAGAAAAAAAAATAAGTAAAGGAGAGGAAGAAAGAGGACGAGAAAGAGGGAGAGTAAATGGAAATATTGCTTTATTTTGAAAAAAATTGGGTGTTAATAATGGCCAATCAATGTTTCATTTAAACTTATGGGTAGGTGTGATGTGGTATTGACAAGAATGTATATTTTGTGTATTTGAAGTGGGGAGCTCTATAAATATTTATTAAGTTTACTTGTTCTGGATCTGAGTTCGAGTCCTTGATATCCTTATTAATTTTCTGTCTCATTGAATCTAAGTTTCGTATTGGGTGTTAGGATCGTTAGCTCTTCTTGTTGCATTGATCCTTTTACCACTATATCTTTGTTGCTTTAAAATCTATTTTATCCGATACGAGAATTGCAACTCCTGCTTTTTATTTATTATTTATTTATTTTAGCTCTCCATTTGGTTGGTAAATCTTTCTCCATTCCTTTGTTTTGAGTCTTTGTGTATCCTTGCATGTGAAACAAGTCTGGATGTAACATGCCATTGGGTTTTGGCTGTGTCTTTTGATTGGGGGATTTAGTCAATTTAAATTTAGGATTACTGCCATTTGATGCTGACCGGCTGTTTTATCTATTCGTTGGTGTAAATTCTTCTTTATGTTGGTGCTCTTTACTTTTTGGTGTATTTTTAGAAAGGCTAATACTGGTTGTTTCTTTCTGTGTGTAATGCTTCTTTCAGAAGCTCTTGTAAAGCAGGCCTGGTGGTAATAAAATCTCTGAGTTCTTGCTTGTTCATAAAAGATTTTATTTTTCCTTCAGTTGTGAAGCTTAGTTTGGCTGGATATGAAATTCTGGGCTGAAGGTTCTGTTCTTTGAGGATGTTGAATATTGGCCCCCACTCTCTTCTGGCTTGTAGAGTTTCTGCTGAGAGATCTGCTGTAAGTCTGATAGGTTTGCCTTTGTGGGTAACCTGACCTTTCTCTCTGGCTGCCCTTAGTATTTTCTCCTTCGTTTCAACCCTGGTGAATCTAATGATTATGTGCCTTGGGGTTGCTCTTCTTGAGGAATATCTCTGTGGTGTTCTCTGTATTACCCGGGGTTGAATGTTGACCTGCTTTGCTAGTTTAGGAAAATTTTCCTGAATAATATCCTGAAGGGTATTTTCCAGCTTGGATTCATTCTCTCCGTTGCATTCAGGTACACCTATCAAACGTAAATTTGGTCTTTTCACATAGTCCCACATTTCTTGGAGACTTTGCTCCTTCCTTTTTATCCTTTTTTCTCTAATCTTTTCTTCACGTTTTATTTCATTAAGTTGGACTTTGACTTCTGATATCCCTTCTTCTGCTTGAACAATTCGAGTGTTTAAACCTGTGCATACTTCTCGGAGTTCCTGTATTGTATTTTTCAGTTCCATTAATTCACTCATACTCCTCTCTAAGTTGTCTATTCTCAATAGGATTTCATCAAACCTTTTTTCAAAGTTCCTAGTTTCTTTACGTTGGGCTACAACATGTTCTTTTAACTCACCGAAGTTTGTTATTATCCATTCCTTGAAGAGTGATTCTGTCATCAGGATGCACTCGTTCTCCATCAAGCCTTGTTCCATTGTTGATGTGGAACTGTGATCATCTTTAGAGGGAGAGGTGTTCTGACTTTGAGTATTCTCAGCTTTTTTACGCTGGTTTCTTCCCGTCATTGTAAATTTATCCTCCTGTCGTCTTTGAAATTACCAACTTTCAGATTAGGTCTCTTGAGTGGATGTCCAGGTTGTTAGTTCCCAGGGCCAGAGCAGCGGCGTTAAAACTGATGGTGCTTTTCTGCCCAGGATTCTCCTGTCGGGCTTCCTTCTTGTGTCTGTAGTAGGCGACTCTGCCTTCCTGGGGCTCCAAACCTTGGTCAGAAGGGGAACCGGTCCTGTTTACTCTGCGCCGAGCATGCTGTCACAGCCGCTGGGCTGGGCTCTGGTGTTGTGCTGGGGGCCCGTGTGGGTCCTCCGAACCTGTTTACTCTGCTCCGAGAGCTGCGGAGCCGAGGTGCTGGTGGAACCGCTGTGCCGGTCACGAAAGTCGCGCTGGCGACCCGTGTGATTCCTCCACTGGGGGATCTTCTGCTCCGTGAGCGACCAGAATTTGTCTGAAAGTGTGGCGTCCTCTAGTTCTCTGCGCCTTCCCTGAGAGCTGCAATCCCGAGATGTTAGCGATCGGCCATCTTGGATCGTTCCGCCAGGATTACAATTTCTGTTAGCAGATAAAGCTTTTTTAAAAGAGAAATCAAATGGTATAAGTCAAAATTTTACTTTTGTTGCAAAATAATGTAGCTTGACTTCTGTCATTTATATGTTGCCTCCAATGCTAAATCCTTGAGATTCTAGTCAACAGGAAGCAGTTTGGAATAAGGGAGTAGATATTGTTCTAGGACTTCAATCTGCTACTAGTTTACTGTGTGACTGAACAATTCACAGGGGTCAAAAGCTGGCCGAAGTTTGCTAATCTGTGACAGGACACTTTGGAACTAGATTAGTGTTCTTAACCTAGTATATGTGGACAAAATATGGATGAGGGGAAATTGCATCTTTATTTTCAATAACTCCGAATTGAAATTTAGCAATTTCTTTATTTATGAATGCAGACAACAAACCCCACTAGTATTCATAGGACCTGTGACTTTGTCACCAATAGAAATCACTGAGAATTTCATGTTGCATCAGAATTGTTGCAGATATCTCAATTTATCAATTATGCTCAGCATGTCTTCAAAGTAACCCTAGTTACTTTGTAGGGAGGGAAGACGGGGAAGTTCTTACTTGACTTACTGTCATATGCTGGCACACATGCAAAGCTGAGTCTCTATGGAATAACACCCATGGGTTCTTTGAGGGCTCCCCTGCTGAGCCCCTCTAGCTATAATTCCCCTATCACTGCCCCTGTTCCTCGGCTACTGTTACTGACTCAGCTTTGGGTTTTCCATGGACTCTTCCTATTGCAACTTCATCATCTGCTTCTCTTCCCTAAAGCAGGAGCCAAAATACCTGTTCCACAGGAATGACCTATTTACTCTGTCCTGACACTCTGGGAGGACAGGCTGAGCCAAACACAGCTGCAGACTTTCATCCTCTGAAACGAAAGCAGAGCACCAGCTCATCTTTCCAGCCCTTTAGGATTCCTGAGCAGCAGTTAGACTCAGTCCTTTGTGGCCTCAAATTCAAGAGGATAAAGGTTAAACTCTTGAAGCCCCTCTAATTAGTGAAGGGAAGGGGAAGTTTCCCTCTGTCCCTTCCCCCCGAGAGTGGGGAGTACAAAGTCACTGCACAGCTCTGTCCAAAGAAAACCTCACAAAATAGTCCATCTCCGCTTTCACTATCTTTATCGTCCTTTGAGTTTGAGAGCCACATCCTATGTGCTAGGTCATCCACTTGGAAATTCCCACTTGGTATTCTGGCACGCTTGGTGGACTTGACTATTTATTATGTTGTGGTGCAGTATTAGTTTTCCATCGCTGCTGCAACAAAGGACCATATGGCAGCTTAGCCAACACAAATCTTAACAGTTGTGGGGCATAGAAGTCTGATATGGGTCTCACTGGGCCAGAATCAAGGGGTCACAGGGCTGCTGAGCTCCTCTCTGAAGCTTCTAGGGAAGAATCCATTTCCTTGCCTTTTCAGCTTCTACAGGCCACAGACATTCCTTAGCTCATGGCCCCCTCCTCCACTCAAAGCAAGCAATACTACATCTCTCTGAGCCTTTCTTCCATTGTCACACCTCTTTCTCTGACCCTCTTCTCCTGCTCTCTTTCACTTTTATCCATTCTTAAATTGTCCACCTAGATAATTCAAAATAATCTCTAAGGTTAGCTGATTGTCAACCTTAATTCTATCTATAACTTTAATTCTCCTCTGCTGTGTAAGGTAACATATTCACAAGTTCTGGGACTGGAAAGTGGACATCTCTGAGACACTGTTAGTCTGTTTACCATCGTGTCTCAATAACATTTCGTATTTACACAACCAGGTTCAATAATAATGTGTTGTGAACATAGGTTAACGGGCTTAAACATCCTGTTACATACTTTATATTTTAATTTTAATTTGTTTTTGAGACAGAGTCTCACTGTCACCCAGGCTGGCATGGAGTGGTGCAATCTCAGCTCACTGCAACCTCTGCCTCCCAGGTTCAAGTGATTCTCGAGCCTCAGCCTCCTGAGTAGCTGGGATCACAGGCATGCACTACCACACTCAGCCAATTTTGTATTTTTGGTAGAGTTGGGGGTTTCACCATGTCAGCCAGGCTGGTCTTGTGCTCCTGGTCTAAAGTGATCCACCCACCTTGCCCTCCCAAAGTGTGAGCGTGAGCTGCCACACCTGGCCCCCTTTGGAATGTATTATATTATAATGTGTGGATGTTTCATACATTTTTAACCATTTCTGTATTGTTGGAAGTTAGGTCATATCTTATTTATTATTACAAGAAACACTGCAATAAAAGTCTCTGTAGTTAATTTGTGACATGTATTACACAGTGACTTTGCATGGTGTCACATAAACTGGACTTGACATTTCCCAGGCCCCACCTCCCTGCATGCTTCTGAGCTAATAAGAACCATAAAAAAATTGCATGAGATGGTGAAACAGTAGCAGCAGTCATGCTTAGGCTTGGAAGATTGGTGCAGGGTCAGGCACCATTGCAGCTCATGTACACTGTCATGCTGGCTCACCTTGTTAGAGGAGCCAGCAACCAGGCCAGTAGCAATTTCAGCTCTATCTCCATGAAGATAGTATCTGGGCCCAACAGATCCAGCTCCCACCGGATCTCCTCTTTCAACTTCTCAGATTTTGGCCAAAGTACATGTGCAGCTCCATGGTGGAATGCATTCAATCATCTCGAAGTCTTCCACATCACTGAAGTTCGATGTTTGGCAGCAATGAGAGGCAGATGCAAATTTCAGTTTTACTTTATTCACAGCTCATCCTGTGAATCCCAGTTTGTCCTTACTCACTCCCACTTCACATGCATCTTCCCTTCCTAATTACAGGCCCTGCTGACTTCAGGCTCAGCACCACACGAAGGATCATAGACTTACAAAGACTGCACAACCAGCTCCTATACTGACTTACTATATAAGGTCTGTACTCTGTACAGATCCCTGTAGATCACTTGCAGTGGTTCTGCTTCTCTGATCAAACCTTAATTAACATTTGTAATTATTTCCTTTGGATAAACTCCTAGACATGCAAAAGCTAAGTAGAGATAGTTCATTTTTATATTAACTTAAATATTTATTTTTTGTTCTTTTTTTGTATTTAATAAAATATTTTTCTAAAGAAAAATTCTGGTTTATTTCTATTCTATCAAGAAAAATCCAAAGGTATTTTTGTCCACTTGTGCCAAAACTTTAATGGCAGAGTAGTGCACCACTGAGCCACAGTGCCCAAGGCAATAGCAAGAATCCAGAGGAGGTGAAATTCAGAGTGACACCTAATGAATCACTCCTTGATGACACCCCAAGCTGACAAAAGCTTTAAGATTCTGTTCAAGACAGAAATATTTCCTTTTGGGTCCACCTTCTTAGGCTGGAGTTGTACCTCTGAATCTTTGACTATTGGTAGGCTTTCTCTCTTCCAACTATATATATTTCATATTTGGACAACCATTTATTTACCATTCCTGCATTCCCAATCTATGTTTGGTTCATTTGTCAGGACATACCATCTACGTACATAGTATCATCTAGAGTTGTGCAGTGCATGATCTGGACAACCACATGTGGGAGCCTGGATCCATTTTATGATACCCTAGGTTGCATTTTCCTGCTACTGACTTGGTCTTTCTGTTGTTGACGGTGAGAGCTTTGGATACCATGTTCTGACTGCTGGGCTGGACATCCATTCATGGTCATGATCAGCTGGGTCTGTCCCTTCAAGGTCTTCTTCAAGCTGGTAGGCCGGTTAATTCTGAAATCAGAAACTATAGAAAGCAGCACAACCCAGATCATAGCCATTGACCAAACCAAGTCCAGGTCCGGCCATGTTCCAAGCTATGATAAACCCAGCTTCAAGAAATTTTTCCAAGCCCACCTTCCTGTCTTGTAGGTAATACATTTACATTTGAGGTGTGTCAAGATGATTACTTAGGTCTAAAGTACTACAAAGGTAGGAGTAACCACCTGGCTTCCCTCCTGTAACATCATAAAGGCTTTCTCTACTATTTAATCAAATGTAACTTAATTAGTGGCTCAAGCAAAGAAAGTATAAGGATATATTCTGCTAGTAAAATACATATAAAGACATCAAGTAATGTCTTCAAGTAATGTGAGCATTAACCTGCTTTACTTTGAAGATATTCTGTGTTACATACCCTGGTGTTCTAAATTGGAAAACTTGGAAGACATGAAAATCCCTTTTCTTTATTTGCTTCCAAAACCTTATATCTATAACCTTAGAGCAAGAAATGGACTTCAGTTCTATTACTAATGTACTAAGTTAATGATTGTTTATATTCTTATCAGTTAGATTTATTTGTTTATGAATGCTTAAGAGGCAGGGCTAATTTTCTATCATAATAATATCCTGCAAAGGTGCTATTAACTTCTCTGTGCAAAGGAAGTAAGATAATAGAATCTGTTATCCCTTTGAGCTACATACCTTCAATTCCATGACGTCTAATCTGTTATGGCACTTCAGACTTGCATGCTTATTTAACCTACTTTCAAATAAATGATTCACAAATGTATTGACTAGATTAAAAGTTTGACAGCAATAAATCTTTGTAAAGATTGGTTCTTGATAGGGAAAGAAAAACAAGATATTCTTCCACATGTAAAGAATAGCATTTGAGACACTTGAAGCTCATGAAGCAGTGAACTTGCTTCATGGTCCAACATTTGATCAATTTTGCTTAATAGTCCATGTGTGCTAGACACAGGGAGGGGAACATCAAACACTGGGGTCTGTTGGAGAGTAGGGGGCTGGGGAGGGATAGCATGCGGTGGGGAGGTTGTGGAGGGATAAAATTGGAAGAAATGTCTGATGTAGGTGATGGGGGTGACGGAGGCAGCAACCACCATGGCATGTGTGTACCTATGCAACAATCCTGCAAGTTCTGCACATGTACACCAGAACTTAAAAGTATAATTAAGAAAGAAATTTCATGTGTACTTGGAAAGATTTACTTTTTCCTCCAAATCTTGTAAAATCTCCTTCTTAATAAGTTAAATGAAATATCCAACTTGTAATATTGCATTAATTCTTTGTCAAAAAGTAATGGGGTATATTTCTTTTAAATTACATAAAGCAACTATTTCATGTAAATTTCAGTATGTATAAACCATATAAAATAATAAAGTGGTACAACCTCTATGGGGGAAATATGACCCAGTAATTTTATTTCTAGGAATTTATAATAGAAAATTATAATAGAAATAGAAATTAGAAAATTCTATTTCTAGGAATTTCACACAGGTGTAAAATGACGCTGCAACATTGCTCATGATAGCAAACAATTGGATAGAATCTACAGATCAATAGTTGGGAAACTGGTTAAATAGATTCTATACAACAGATGACAATGTAGCCTTATAAAATGAAGAAGCTATATATATAATAATCTGGAGGACTATGCAAAATATATTATTAGGGACTTTCAAATATCCTATTATGGCTGACTAGGTTTGCTGAGACACATTTGTGCTATGGAGTACTTAGTTAGACCTTGGACAAACTCATTTCTCTGAGACATTGCTGGTCTCTTAAGCGGTAGGGAAGGTTTCCACAGAAACTTCCCCTCCAAGAAAGAAAACAAAACCAGAGTTGTCCTGAGCAAAATGCTGATAGTAGTAGCACTGCTATTAAGATACTAAGGTTTAGGCCAACACACGGTTGGGAAGGATGAATTGAGCTAAGACACTGAAGTGTTATTAGGTTGGTGCAAAAGAGATTGCAGTTTTGGCTGCACATGGTGGTTCACACCTTAATCCCAGCACTTTGGGAGGCCGAGGCAGGTGGGTTACCTGAGGTCAGGAGTTCAAGACCAGCCTGGCCAACATGGTGAAAACGTGTCTCTACTAAAAACACAAAAACAGGCGTGGTGGCACACACCTGTAATCCCAGCCACTTGGGAGTCTGGGGCAGGAGAATCGCTTGAAATTGGGAGGTGGAGGTTGCAGTGAGCTAAGATTGTGCCATTGTACTCCAGCCTGGGCAAGAGCAAGACTCCATTTCAAAAAATAAAAAAATTTAAAAGTTACGGTTTTGTCATTAAAAGTAATTGCAAAAACTGCAATTCTTTTGCACCAACCTAGTTTCTTTGGTTACAAGCAGAAGCAGGAACAAATCTTCTATGGAAGAGAGCTTTCCATGGAGCTAGAGGACCCAGAGATTCAGATCAAGCTTGCAATCAAAGATGATCAAGTTCATGAAAAGGCAAAGCAAGCCACCATTAGTGAGAATCTGCATAAACAATAAACAAAATATAGAAAAGCTATAAATAAAATGTTTAAAAAAATTTTTTTTAAACACAAAAATCATCTCCAGGAATATGAAAGACCTAGCTAAGAAAAGTAAAATAATGCTCCTAGAAGAGAATGTGTAATAAAGTCTAATAACAATGGAGTCTTTTGAGGAATAGATGTTCTTAATTTTAATGTGGTTGAATTGATTGGTCTTTTATTTTATGGTTATTATAGTTTGCATCTTTTTTCATAAATTCTTTACTATTCTGAGGCCATGACCTGTAATAAAGCAAATAATCACATAATTCATTCCCCAGGTAAAAAACTAGATTATCACTGCACCCTACAAGCTACATGCATATGCCTTTCTGATATCAATTTGATCTCTCCTCCAAGAGATAATCAGTATCCTGACTTTTCTTTTCTTTTTTACAAGATGGGGTTTCACCATGATGGCCAGGCTGGACTTGAACTCCTGACCTCAGGTGATCCACCCACCTCAGCCTCCCAAAGTGCTAGGATTACAGGCGTGAGCCACCGTGCCTGGTCTGATTTCTATTATACTAGTTATCCTAGTCTACTTTATAAATTTACTATCTGTGTATGCATCTCTAAGCAAAAGAGCTTATTTTAGCCTCTTGAACTTTTTAATTCCTTCATACCATACAAAACTTAATTTGTGATAGATTATTAACTTAAATATAAAAGCTAAAACCATAAAACTTTTAGAGGAAATTGAGTATCTTCATACTTGGTGATAGGTAAAAGGTCCTTAGATAAGATACAGAAAGCAATAACCATATAAGAAGAAGATGATAAACTTCATCAAAATTAGTAACTTTAGCTCACCAATGACATCATTAAAAAGAAACATAGTGCTAGATGTGGTGGCTCATGCCTGTAATTCCAGCAGTTTGGGAGGCTGAGGCAGGTGGATTGCTTGAGGTCAGGAGTTTGAGCCCAGCCTGGCCAACATGGTGAAACCTTGTCTTCACAAAAAATATAAAAATTAGCTAGACATGCCAGTAGTCCCAGCTACTTGGGAGGCAGAAGCAGGAATATCACTTGAGCCTAGGAGGTAGAGGTTGCAGTAAGCCAGTATCACACCACTGCACTCCAGCCTGGGCAATAGGGTGAGACCTTGTCTTAAAAATAATAAAATGAAAAATTAATTAATAAAAACATAGCAAACCACGGACTGTGAAAGACTATTTCCAAAATGTATACCTGAGGGCAGTTTAACATAAGAAAATCAATCAATGCTGTATACCACATTAATAGAATGAAGCAAAAAAAAAAAAAGCAGCTGATCATTTCAATTCATGAAGAAAAAGCATTTGACAAAATCCAACACTTGTTCATGACAAGGAACACTCAGAGAACTAGGAATAAAAGAGAACTTCTTCAACATGACAAAGGGCATTTATGACACTTCCCAACATACACAAACCCCTCAGTTAACATCACACACACTGGGGAAAGACTGAAAGCTTTCCCTTTGAGATGAAAAAAAAAGATTGGGATGCTTGCTTTCATTGCTGCAGTTCAACATTGTATTGGAAATTCCAGTGAGAGTAATTAGGCAAGAAAAAGAAAAGGCATCCAAATTAGAAAAGAAGAAATACAACTATCTTTATTCACAGATGACATAACCTCTATATAGAATATCCCAAAGAATGCACACACGCACACACAAATGCCACCACCACAACAACAAAACCACTAGAGCTAATAAATTCAGCAAATTTGCAGAGTACAAAATCAACACACAAAAGTAAGTAGTATTTTTTTTCTTCTTTTGTTTTTGAGATGGAGTCTTGCTCTGTCGCCTAGGCTGGAGTGCAATGGGGTGACCTCGACTCACTGCAACAGCCACCTCCCGGATTCAAGGGATTCTCCTGCCTCAGCCTCCCAACTAGATGAGATTACAGGCGCCCCCCTACCACCACGCCCAGCTAATTTTTTGTATTTTTAGTAGAGACAGGGTTTCACCATTTTGGTCAGGCTGGTCTCAAACTCCTGACCTCAGATCATCCACCCACCTTGACCTCCCAAAGTGCTCGGATTGCCACGCCTGACTAGTAGTGTCTCTATACATCAGCAATGAGCAATTTCAAAAGAAAATTAAGAAAACAATTCCATTTACAAGAATGTGCAAAAGAATAAAATACCTAGGAATATATTTATTCAAGGAGGTTGTTCTGCAGTGGGCAGTTCTATGCATATCTGCCCCAAAGTCTGAGGAAGCTGAGAGGATGAAGAAAGAGACTGACAAATCCAATTTATTGGAAAGAAACATTTAATAAGAACTTAACAGAAGTCATGTCTGTGTCTTGGGTGGTAGTGAGACAAGATAGTGGATCCCTGCACCATTACCCCTCAGACCCAGGACTTATCTACCATAGGGAAAGAGTGATTCAGAAGGGATGTATAGGACAGCTGAAGTACAGTAACATCAAGGTCGTTTGACTTAAGGGCAGGATTTATGGTTAGTACCTGCTCTTAAACAAGGAACAATAGGTAAGCTAGAAATCCTAGAGGCCTTTCCAGAACTGGGATTAATCAAAAGCCCTGTGGTGGATTAGCATTCAAGATGAAGTTGATCTGGCCTCCACAGAGATAAAGTTTGTGCACTGAAAAGTATAAGACATTGTTGAAAGAAATTGATAATCTCTGTTCATGGATTGGAAAACAATGTTGTTAAGATGGCAATGCTACCTAAGTAATCTACAGATATGATGCAATCCCTATCGAAATGCCAATAACTTTTTTTGCAGAAATGGAAAAGCTGATCCAATAATATAAAAGAAGAAAAAGGTTGGAAGACTTACACTCTCTGATTTTCAAAACTTATTACAAAGCTACAGTAATTAAAATAGTGTGGTACTGGCATAAGGATAGACACATAAACCAATGAAATAGAATTGAGAGTCCAGAACTAAACTCATCCATTTATGGCAAATTGATTTTTAACAAGGTTGGTAAGACCATTCTAGAGGGGAAAGAATAGTCTTTTCAAAGAACAGTGCTGTGACAACTGAATATCCACATGCATAAGAATGAAACCGAACCTCTACCTCACACCATATATAAAATTAACTCAAAATAGATCAGCTGTTTTTTTTTTTTTTAGATCACCATAAATCCATTTGTTTATTGTATAATTTCATCATTCTGATGCCATGGAAAATGGGGTGACTTTATTTAATATGGATCATATTTACATAATGTCTATGGAAATAACATAAAGCTTATTATTCTTTGCTATCTCGCATTTGGATTAGACAACATACAGAACTGTTCTAAGTTGTGTTTGTTGTTGTTACTTCTAATGCTATCACTAAGGGAGAAAAAAGACAATATTTAGACAAGGGAAATGGCTTCTGTGCTAACATATTCAAGCATGCTAAATTGTATGCACTTACATACATGAATATGTGATTTGCAAAATAATGGTATTTGTATAACTCATCTCAATTTTATATAGTGATTTCTCTTTAGTTGAAACTTATAGTCAAGTCTTTGTGTCATAAAAACTTTTCATGAAGGATATAATAAGTTAAAAATGTTCAACAAGTAGTCAGAAGACCAACCTCTAAATATCATGAAATAGTCTAATCTATTAAATAAAGATAACTGACAACTGCTTTTGCCTACTACACAGCTATTTTTAGATCAAATGAGATTGTATGTATCAAAGTATTTTATAAACTATATAATGGTATAACTATAAGCTTTTAAAAAGACTATTGTCATTGTATTTACAGTAGGATACAACTTTTAGAACATTTTTAAAATGTAATAAAACGAGCCTTTTATTTCTATGCTACACACTGACCATTTGCACTATGATGTTCAAGTCCTTTAAAGTCACAAATATCTTAAGATATAATTGAGTTTCTTATCAGGAGTGCAGGGCAAGTAGACTTGTTTGTGTGTGTGTGTGTGTGTGTGTGTGTGTGTGTATAGTTACCTGTAATTAAAACTTAATCTCCAGTTAATATATGATTAACCTTCACAAAATAAAACTCTTTATTCAGATTTTGTTAATTACTGTAGGAAAACCTCATAGAAATTTAGAGTAGGAAAGGCCTTGGAGATTAGGCATCCACCATTTCATTTTATTTTATTTATTTATTTATTTTTATTGCATTTTAGGTTTTGGGGTACATGTGAAGAACATGCAAGATTGTTGCATAGGTACACACCTGGCAGTGTGATTTGCTGCCTTCCTCCCCATCACCTATATCTGGCATTTCTCCCCATGCTATCTCTCCCCAACTCCCCACCCATCACTGTCCCTCCCCTATAACAACTGTTACTGACTGAATGCTTGTGTCATCTTAAAATTCATACATTGAAAACTAACTTCCAATATGATAGTGTTAGGAGGCAGGGCTTTTGGTAGGTGATTAGGCCATGAAGACAGAGCCCTCATGAATGAGATTAATGCCCTTCTATCAGGCTAGTGCAAAAGTAATTGCAATTATAAAAGAGTCTCCAGAGAGCTCTCTTGCCTCTTCCAGCATGTGAAAACACAAGAAAGTAGCCTCTATGAATCAAAAAGTCCTTACCAGACGGCAAATCTGTTGGCACCTTGATCTTGAACTTCCTAACCTCCAGAACTACAAAAAAAAAAATGTCTGTTGTGTATAAGCCACCCAGTATTCTGTTACAGCAGCTCCAACAGACTAAGACAAGAACCTAAATAGAAGAACTAAAACCTTCTATTCTTGGAAGAACCAATAAAATTTTTGGAAGAAAACATAGGAAGAAATCTTTATTACCTCGGATTTGGCAATGGAGTCTTAGATATGACACCAAACCAAGAGCAACAACAACAAAAATAAATCAAAGGCTGGGCACAGCAGCTCACACAATCCTAGAACTTTGGGAAGCTGAGGTGGGCAGATCGATTGAGCCCAGGAGTTCGAGACTAGCCTGGGCAACATGGCGAAACTCTGACTCTACCGAAAAAGATAAAAAATTAGCCAGGTGTGGTGGCCCCTGCCTGTAGTCTCAGCTATGTGAAAGGCAGGTGGGAGGACTGCTCAGGTGGGAGGTTGAGGTGAGCTGATATGGCACTACTGCACACCAGCCTGGGTGACAAAGTGAGATCCTGTTTGAAAAAATTAAAATAAATTAGACTTTATCTAAATTAAAAACTTCTGTGCATCAAAGAACATTATCAAGAAAAGTAAAAAGAAAACCTACAGAATGGAAGAAGGGATAAAATATTTGCAAATCATACATGTGATTAAGTTCTAACATCTAGAAAAAGAACTCTCACTACTCAACAATGAAAATATAAACAATCCAATATAAAAATGGGCAAAGGACTTGAAAAGATATTTCCCAAAGATACACAAATGGCCAACAAGCATATGAAAAGATGATCAACATCTTTTGGTAAATGCAAATCAAAACCACAATGAGATATCACTTCATACCAACTAGAATAGCTATGTTTCTTTAAAGGGAAAATAATAAGCTTCAGTAAGGATTTGAAGAAAAAGGATCCTCAGACATTGCTTATGGAAATGTAAAATGGTATGGATGCTGTGGAAAATGGTGAGACAGTTTCTCAAAAAGTTAAATATAGAATATGACCCATCAATTCCACATCTAGGAATATACCCCAAGTAATTGAAAACAGGTACTCAAAGACATACATGTACATGCATGTTCACAGAAGCACTATTCACAATACTTTAAAGGTGGAGACAACTCAGATGTTCATTAATGGATGGATAAACATATTGTGGCATACACACCCAACAGAATGTTAATCAGCTTCGAAAAGGAATGACATACTGACACGTTACAACATGAATGAACTTTGAAAATGTTATACTAAGTGAAAGAAGCCAAACACAAAAAGTCACATATATGAATTCATTTATATGAAATATCTAGACTAAGCAAATTCATAGAGATAGAATACAGATTAGTGGTTGCCAAGGGCTGTGGGGAAGGGAGACTGGAGAGTAACTGTTTAATGACTATAAAGTTTCCTTTTGGAGTAATAAAAATGTTTTGCAATTAGAGATGTTGGTTGTAAAATATCATGAATATACTAAATGCCACAGAATTGTTCACTTTTAATGGTTAATTTTATGTTATGTATATCTTACCTCAATTTGAATTTTTATTGATTGATTGACTGATTGAGGTAGGATCTTGCTCTGTTGCTCAGACTGGAGTGCAGTGGTGTGATACTATCTCACTGCAGCCTCAAATTCTTAGACTCAAACAATCCTCTTGCCTCAGCCGCCAGAGTAGGTGGTACTACAGGCATGCACCACTATGCTTGGCTAATTTTTTAAAACTTTTGTAGAGACAGAGTCTCACTATGTCGCCCAGACTAGTCTTGAACTCCTGGGCTCAACTGATTCTCTCGCGTTGCCTCCTAAAGTGTTTGGATTATAGGTATGAACCACTGCACCCAGCCTAACCTCAATTTTTAAAAAATTTGAAGATTTGAGAAAAATTTTCTATATATTTCAGAAAGTTCTAGTATCCAGGGTACAAAAGGAATATGTACAACTCAATAAGAACAAACAACATATTTAAAAAAAAAATGGCCCAGAGATTTGAACAGATACTTTACCAAAAAAGATCTGAGTGGCCAATAAGCATATAATTTTCTGTTTCTTTACAATCTTTTTCCTCCTTGTAGTTTATTTTTTTCCAATAGCCTGTCTTTGATTCACTAATCCAGTCCTGCTGTTTCCAGTCTGCTGTTAAAGCCATCCAGTGAGTTCTTAATTTCAGATTATGTGTTTTGGTTCTAGAATGTTCATTATACTTTTAAAAATATATTTCAATTCCATGTTGAAATTATCCATGTTTTCTATATTTTCCTCTGACTTAACAAATGTCTCACATGGGAAACTAGCCTTGCATTTGGACTCTTCCAGTTTCTTATAGGTCACAACAGCTTTGTGTGACTGTCAAAAGCTCCACTGGTTTCTCTTTCTTTAACTAGTGTTGTCTTTGTGCCTGGGGGTCAGGCCTACAGGTGAAGAAAACAAAGACAATTGTTAGTTCACTTAGAGAGGGTTCTTACCCTTCTAGAATTTTAGTTCATCTATTCCTCCTTGTTCTACAACTCTCTGTTATCTTTAAAAATATAATTTTGCAATTTATCCATTTGATTTTCTAATTGTTGCAGCAAAAACACTGGACTACTGCAAATTAATATAAACTGCTTATATAAGTTAAAGTCTTCATTAAACAAAATAATAGCAAACTAAATCTAAAAAAATATAAAATGATACATCACAACCAAGCTGGGTTTATTTCATGCATATATGATTGGTTTAACATATAAAAATCCATCAGTTTAATTCACTACATTGACAGAAAAGGGAGAAAAATTATGATTATCTTAATAGATGTAAAAACATAAAATTCTATATATAGTTGTAAAAAAACCTCAGCAAACTAGGATAGAAGGAAACTGCTTAAATTTGTTAAAGGGAATCTACTTTTTAATACTACAGAAAACATTGTACTTAATAGTTGAAATTGTTTACTCTAAACAATTAGAGTACTAATTATACTGGAGGTCCCAACCAGTCCAAGGACAAAATGGAATTAAGGATAGAGGAAGTAATAAAATTGAATTATTTGCATTCCTAGTTAAGCATGATTAAAAAATGAAATTTAAAAGAGATTCCCTTTACCATAGCATCAAAACCTATCAAACACCTAGTATTCTTTGATGTGGAAATTCTACTTTCTAACTACATCTCCCTATCTAATATTCATGTCTTCTAGCAGGTATCAATAATTATTAAAATGCATTTTGTTTTATTCCTACATCATAAAAGCACAATTGGCTGGTGTTTTTTTTTTTGCAAATAGAGGACCTACTGAGTTCAGTGATTAAAGTCATGAAATAACCACACAGGTCATTGTACCTAAATATAGCAGTTATTACTTTATAATGTAGTTGCTACTACAGTATTTATTACTCTGTGATGTAGTTATTACTCTGTGATGACTCAAACACCTTCTTAAGACACTTGCATTAAGTTCAAAATGTATGACAAATATTTATCACAGCACATTGATGAAATTCTGATAGGTTCAAAGGCAGAAAAGGTTAACAATTGCTCAGAAATTCATACAAGCTTATAGTGACTATTTTGCTGTCACCTATCAGTGTTAACATTTATAAAATAACGGGTATTAATTTCACAGGATCGTAGAATGTGTATGATCCTCCACTTACCAGAGGAGCATATGAAAACCGTATCCACCTGAAGGTTGGGGAAATAAACTTTAGTATTAAAGAGGCTGGGTGCGGTGGCTCATGCCTATAATCCCGGGAGGCTGAAGTGGATGGATCATGAGGTCAGCAGTTCAAGGTGTTCAAGGAGTTCATGAGGTCAGGATCATGAGGTCAGGAGTTCAAGACCAGCCTGGCCAACATGGTGAAATTAGCTGGGTATGGTGGCATGTGCTTGTAATCCCAGCTACTCAGGAGGCAGGAGAATTTCTTGAACCGGGACCCAGGAGGCAGAGGTTGCAGTGAACTGAAATCATGCCACTGCACTCCAGCCTGGTCTACAGACTGTGACTCAGTCTAAAAAAAAAAAGTATTATTATAGAATAGATAGCCACTCTCAGTGAATCTGTACTGATGTGTTGACAGTATTTTTGTGTTTCTCTCATACTTCCTCTTAGGAGTGGATGAAATCTTGTTCCTCCAGCTCTAAGTGAGGCCAGTGGCTGGGGCTTGCTTCTGTCCTAATCCTCTTTCAAAGTGGGCTCCCAGCAATATCTCTTACGGTGCTTATGCTCACCCCTCATGGGGCAGTCCCCAGCCTTCTATTAGTGAATACACTTAGAATCAAACTGCCATTTGTTTCCTGTATAACAGAAGGAGGGAGTAAGAAAGTAAATAGTGTTAACATTAAATTCCATTTGTTCCAAGATTATAGATTAAAATAATCAATGTAAATGTAAGAACTAACTGAAAACTCTTAGAAGAACACATAGGAGAAAGTCTTTGTGAACTTAGAAAACTGTTTCTTAAATATGACACCAAATATAAGCAACCAAATTTTAAAAATGAATCAGACTTCATCAAAATTAAAACTTTTTGTGCTTAAAGAATACCATCGAGGAAAAGACAACCCACAAAATGAGAGAGAATGTTTGCAAATTACATATCTGACAAGCGATTTGTATCCAGAGTATATTTTAAAAAACTCTTACAACTCAATAACAAAAAGAATATCCTATTAAAAATTGGCCATAGATTTAAGCGGATATTTCTCCAAAGAAGATAGACAAATATCTGGTAAACACATTAGATGCTCAGAATCCTTAGTCATTAGGGAAATACAAATCAAAACCATAATGAAATACCACTTCATACCAACTAGGATAGCTATTATCAAAAACCAGAAGATAACAAGTGTTGGTAAAGATATGGAAGAATTGAAACTCTCATACCTTGCTGCTGGCAACATAAAATGATGTTAACAGTTTGGCAGTTGCTAAAAAAGTTAAGCATACTTACCAAATGACCATTAATTTCACTTCTAAGTAGTTACTCAGGAGAATTGAAAACATATGTCTACACACAAATTTGTATACAAATGTTTACAGCAGTGGTATTATTTTATTTAGAAACAGGGTCCTGCTGTGTTGTCCAGGCTGGTCTTGAACTCCTGGCCTCAAGCGATTCTCCTGCCTCGGCCTCTCAAAGTGCTGAGATTACAGGTGTAAGCCTCTGTGCCTGGCCTACAACAGCATTATTGATAATAGCTAAAAGATGAAAATTATCCAATATCCATTAACAGATTAATGGGATGTGATACACATACAAAAAATGTGATACATTCAAGTGGAATATCATTTGAACATAAAAAAATGAAATCTGATACATGATACACTATGGATGACATTTTGAAAACATTATGCTAAGTGACAAAAGTCAGACACAACAGGTCGCATTTCATGTGATTTCACTTATATGAAATGCCATGAATAGGCAAATCCATAGAGACAGAAAGCAGATTAGTGGTTGCCAGAGGTTGTGGGGAGAGGGGCATGAGAGTGACTACTAATGTGCACAGGATATTTTTTGGGGGGTTTATACAATGTTCTGGAATTAGATAGTGATGATGGTTGCGCACCTTTTGAATATTCTAAAAACCACCAAATTGTACACTTTAAAAAATTAACCAATATTTATTCTGAAAAGTAATTGTATGTTTCAAATAACAGATATTACCTTCCAATATAATCTCTAGGCATACTCTGTAGTTCCGAATCATGTTTTAGAAAAACATTTCCAGGCCAGGCATGGTGTCTCAAGCCTGTAATCCCAGCACTTTGGGAGGCCGAAATGGGTGGATCACAAAGTCAGGAGTTCAAGACCAGCCTGACCAACATGGTGAAACCCTGTCTCTATTTTTAAAAAAAGAAAGAAAAAAAGAAAAACATTTCCAGCAGTCTGTGCAGAATTTATTTATATTCCATCACTGGCTATGATTGCACTTGTTGCAGGAGGAACTTCAAATTATTCTGCTGCAATCTTTAAGACTGCTGTGAAAGGTGTACTTTCACAAACACTGAGTACTTTGTACAGCAGCCACAGGTCTGATGTCAGAGTGATCATAAATGAAACCTTTGACATGGTGGTGGTATAAGCAGAGAACCTATGCCAACTCCAAGAAGCCCCACTTCCTCCATGAATTGTACACTTTGAAAGGGTGAAGTTTATGGCATATGGATCAGAGCTAAATAAAGGTATTATATTATAAAAAAGCAGTAAGGCTTAACCTTTTAGAAAGAACAAACTATATTACCTGAGTTTGAATAAAAAACTCCTGACCTCATATCAAAGATGATTACATGAAATTATCCTTTTATGTTTTAAGTTGGCATAAAATGTTTGCAGGTTTTATACATCTATATATAATGATTTCCTTTTTAACTTTAAAAATTAACTGACCAATTTTCCTTAATTAAGCTTCCTCACGTTGAAGTCACCTGTTTTCCAAATACTACTGAATACAGCTTTCAAATTCATTTGGGTTATATTTGGAAACCAGGATGGGAATAAAGGGATCCAGGGCATCAGATCCTTCCTTTTCCAGCAACTCCTGGGGCAGATAGGCTTTCCGGGGCTTAAAAAGAGACCCAGTCTGGTTCAAAGTCAACACAATGGCACCTCCATGCCAATCCTTTTTTATCATTTTCCTCAGGTTGTGAACAAGTACTAATTCCTCTGGGGCAATCGGGCTTTCATCTACTCTTTTCAGAGTGGTCCTTCCCCAAAGAGCATTGATTCCATCCACAGCAAACAGGAGGTGAAAAACACCCAAAGAATTTTGCCTCTTTAGCTCTTTCAGCACAATTCGAACTCCATCTGTGGCGTTCCTCATCCATGTTATGCCCTTTGGGAGAGACAGTGGATTGCAGTTTTACCAGAGGACTTTTCTCATTATTGCATGTTACATTCAGTGTCTTTTTTTTTTTTTTGGAGGCAAAGTCTCACTCGGTTGCCCAAGCTGGAGTGCAGTGGCATGATCTCAGCTCACTGCAACCTCTGCCTCCTGGGTTCAAGCAATTCTCCTGCCTCAGCCTCCTGAGTAGCTGGGATTTTAGGGACATCCCACCCTGCCTGGCTAATTTTTATATTTTTAGTAGAGATGGGGTTTCCCTATGTTGGCCAGGCTGGTCTCGAACTCCTGACCTCATGATCTGCCCCCCTTGACCTCCCAAAGTGCTGGAATTATAGGCATGAGCTACTGTGCCTGGCCTCAAAAATTGTTATTCTTTTTTATTTTTTTTGAGACGGAGTCTCGCTCTGTTGCCAGGCTGGAGTGCAATAACCCAATCTTGGCTCACTGCAACCTCTACCTCCCGTGTTCAAGCGATTCTCCTGCCTCAGCCTCCCGAGTAGCTGAGACTACAGGAATGTGCCACTACACCCAGCTAATTTTTGTATTTTTGGTAGAGATGGGGTTGCACCATGTTGGCCAGAATGGTCTTGATCTCTTGACCTTGTGATCCACCAGCCCCGGCCTCCCAAAGTGCTGGGATTACAGGCATGAACCACCAATCCCGGCCAAAAATTGTTATTTTTAAAGTGGATCAGAACGCAAAGATACATATGAAGATTTCTGACCCCAGAATCCAAGTTTTTTTTTTTTCATTTACCCCTTTTATCAGACAGCTTGCATTAATTCAGATCTTCTTCGCCTCACTATTCTCCTGTTCCAGTCACTGCTACCAAGACTGTTCTGTGTGGACTCTGTGCAGGCAAGATCTGCTGTCAACAGTACATCATGTTGCTCTGAGTCCTCCTTGCTTCCTGTCCACTGATGTCAAGGTGAATTCTGCCTTGGGCAATCTGCAAATTCAGGAAAGATTATGTTCTGGAATGAACCTTTGAGGAGTGTCAGATAAGAGCTGAGGAATGATTAATTCTTCCCAACCCATCTCACACAAGCTGTCTGGAGGTGTGGTTATGTGGTTTTTCAGAGGTGTGACCATGAGATCAAGCATTTTGTTGCACTTACTGGTGACCAGCTTGATGTCACATCCTCATATTGACTTTCCTTCTGGATCTGCTTCACTCTGCTTACCCTTCATTCTTGCTCTCTGAGATTTCATTCCTTGCCAAGGAGGTAGCATAAAGCTTTTGCCTGAGGCTCTCCTTTTGGGGGAACCCAAGCTAAAACATCTCTCAATCTTTTATAACAATTTTGAACACATTGCATTTGACAGCAATTTTTAGTGATTGGATTTTAGTGAGTCTTTCCAAAGCACTCAAACTTTTTAAAAGAAAAAGCAAACTTTTAATCACATCTCATGGGTTAATGTCATAAATATAATTACAATAACACACATAACTGGCAAGAAGAGGTTTAGAAATAACACACTAGGCCCTTGCTAGGTATATAGCCCATGAGTATGTTGGAGAGAAGTCATGAGCTTGCAAATTTTGTTTGGCTTGTGCAATATTTTAGGATTTGAATTAAGGGCTGTCATTTAACAACTGGAACATTTAACACAAATCAAGATTTCTACCATTAAAAAAATTGCAAGACCTGGCAACATTAGACTCGTAGAAATGGACTCCACACAGGTATGGGGAAGTCTAGGCCTGCTAAGGGATATTAAAACTAGGAAATTGGACTTCATCTTATGTAGTCTCACAGTAAAAAACTGAGGAATGAGCTGAGATTGCTTTGTACTAGTTGTACCTGGTGAACAGGAGGCACTTAGCATCTTTAGAACCAGGGAAGTATAAAATTCCCTATAACAGGGCAAAATTGAGTAGCTCATGCTGGGATGAATATCACTCTGCATAACAGGTAACATCATCCTTGTGAGAATTTGTAAACCCTGTGACTCCAGCGTGCTATGTTGTTCCCTGCATTTTTAGGATCATCTCTGTGCATTTCATATACTTTTCTATTAGAAATGTTTCCCGAGAGAAACAATCCAAGATGGCTGATCGCTAACATCTCGGGATTGCAGCTTTCAATGAAAGCGCAGAGAACTAGAGGACGCCACACTTTCAGACAAATTCTGGTCGCTCACGGAGCAGAAGATCCCCAGTGGAGGAATCACATGGGTCGCCAGTGTGACTCTTGTGGCCGGCGCAGCGGTTTCACCGGCACCTCGGTGCGGCAGCTCTCGGAGCAGAGTAAACAGGGCTGGCTCCCCTTCTGACCCAGGTTTGGAGGACCCACATGGGTCCCCAGGACGACTCCTGAGGCCGGCACAGCGGCTGTGATGGCACCTCGGCGTGGCAGCTTTCGGCGCAGAGTAAACGAGACTGGTTACCCTTCTGACCGAGGTTTGGAGCCCCGGCAAGGCAGAGTCGCCTATTAAGGACACAAGAAAGAAGCCAGACAGGAGAATCCTGGGCAGAAAAGCACCATCAGTCTTAACACCGCTGTTCTGGCTCTGGGAACTAACAACTTGGACGTCCACTCAAGAGACCTAATCTGAAAGTTGGTAATTTCAAAGACGACAGGAGGATAAATTTACAATGATGGGAAGAAACCAGCGTAAAAAGGCTGAGAATACTCAAAATCAGAATGCCTCTCCCTCTAAAGATGATCATAGTTCCACATCAACAATGAAACAAGGCTTGATGGAGAACGAGCGCATCCCAATAACAGAATCACGCTTCAGGGAATGGATAATAAGAAACTTCTGTGAGTTAAAAAACATGTTGTAGCCCAACGTAAAGAAACTAAGAACTTTGAAAAAAGGTTTGATGAAATCCTATTGAGAATAGACAACTTAGAGAGGAATATAAGTGAATTAATGGAAATGAAGAATACAATACAGGAACTCCGAGAAGTATACACAGGTTTAAACACTCGAATTGTTCAAGCAGAAGAAAGGATATCACAGGTCAAAGTCCAACTTAATGAAATAAAACAAGAAGACAAGACTAGAGAAGAAAGGATAAAAAGGAATGAGCAAAGTCTCCAAGAAATGTGGGACTATGTGAAAAGACCAAATTTACGTTTGATAGGTGTACCTGAATGCGACGGAGAGAATGAATCCAAGCTGGAAAATACCCTTCAGGATATTATTCAGGAAAATTTTCCTAAACTAGCAAAGCAGGTCAACATTCAACCCCAGGTAATACAGAGAACACCACAAAGATATTCCTCAAGAAGAGCAACCCCAAGGCACATAATCGTTAGATTCACCAGGGTTGAAACGAAGGAGAAAATACTAAGGGCAGCCAGAGAGAAAGGTCAGGTTACCCACAAAGGGAAGCCTATCAGACTTACAGCAGATCTCTCAGCAGAAACTCTACAAGCCAGAAGAGAGTGGGGGCCAATATTCAACATCCTCAAAGAACAGAATCTTCAGCCCACAATTTCATATCCAGCCAAACTAAGCTTCACAACTGAAGGAAAAATAAAATCTTTTATGAACAAGCAAGTACTCAGAGATTTTATTACCACAAGGCCTGCTTTACAAGAGCTTCTGAAAGAAGCATTACACACAGAAAGAAACAACCAGTATTAGCCTTTCTAAAAATATACCAAAAAGTAAAGAGCACCAACATAAAGAAGAATTTACATCAACGAATGGATCAAACAGCCAGTTAACATCAAATGGCAGTAACCCTAAATTTAAATCGACTAAATCCCCCAATCAAAAGACACAGTCAAAACCCAATGGCATGTTACATCCAGACCTGTTTCACATGCAAGGATACACAGACTCAAAACAAAGGGATGGAGAAAGATTTACCAACCAAATGGAGAGCAAAAATAAATAAATAAATAAAAAGCAGGAGTTGCAATTCTCGTATTGGATAAAATAGATTTTAAAGCAACAAAGATGTAGTGGTAAAAGGATCAATGCAACAACAAGAGCTAACGATCCTAACACCCAGCTACATAAGAGACTTAGATTCAATGAGACAGAGAATTAATAAGGATATCAAGGACTCGAACTCAGATCCGGAACAAGTAAACTTAAATATACATTCTTGTCAATACCACATCACACCTACTCATAGGTTTAAATGAAACATTGATTGGCCATTATTAATACCCATTTTTTTTTCAGAATAAAGCAATATTTCCGTTCACCCTCCCTCTTTCTCTTCCTCTTTCTTCCTCTCCTTTACTCATTTTTTTCTTTCCTTCTCTCAAAAAAAAGAAATCAACTTGTAAACCTCTAGATCCAGGTCGGCAATGCTCCAGGTCTCATTGCTTGATTTCCTTCCTTCCCTTCCTTCCCTTCCCTCCCTTCCTCCCTCTCCCTCTCCCCTTCCTTCCTTCCTCCCTCCCTTCCTCCTTCCCTCCCTTCCTGCCTTCCTCCCTTCCTCCCTCCCTTCCTCCTTCCCTCCCTTCCTGCCTTCCTCCCTTCCTCCTTCCCTCCCTTCTTAAAATAAAAATAAAATAAAGTTTCCCCTCCTCTGTTCATACCTTTATATTACTTTATATCACTTTCCTGCTTGCCAATACAAATTGGTGTCAGAAGTGAGACTAATATAAAGACTCCAGACCTTAATCGCTAGGTTAATTTGAAGGAGACATAGATAAACTGCAGGAGAAAATGTGATCCTGGAATACCAGTGTAGCAATCGGACCACCCATGGCAGAGGGGATTGTAAATGGTTTGCAGATAAAAATGGAAAATTGTTTCAATGGACTATGTCCATTACCACCTTGATTAATTATGGGAAGTCTGGTATACCAGCCTGAAAGAGATAATAATCTGTGAATGGGCAGATTTACAATTTCCTGGTTACTTTTATTAGCTCTAGCTAGGGTGACAATATTTCCCCTTTTGCTCAGAATATGTTTGGTTTGTGCCTGTTGTCCAGATATGATGATTATCAGTAGCTCCTTTCACTTTCAAAAGTGTCTGGGTTTGGACAATAAATTAAATTATCACTCCAGAAGGGCAGAGGCACTCAAGACTTTCTATAGAAATTATAACAGGAAACTACTGGATCCTGCGTCCAACTGGTAGGACAGACCAAGACAAACTCTGGGAATGAGACATTTGGGATGTTCTATTAGGTGTGGCAGTGAGGCTGAAGGACCTTTTCAAGTCCACACTGGATTCAGCACATCTTCAACCACATGTTGTGTAATAGCTGAGGTTTTAGATGAGGTAGGGGTTGGGAATTTCTTTAATTCTCACTGGCTTTGCTCTTTAACGAGAGGGAGACAGATTAGAGACAGGAAAATTAAGTATTATAGTGGCTTTTAAAGTGTAATTCTTTTAACATGCTTTAACTAGTCTTGTTGCTCTAACAGATTAAAAACTTGAAAAGCTGTGCCTTTGGAGCTTATGCTTATGCTTTTCAAAAATACAAGTGGTGTTTAGAATAGGATTTGAAAATGGTTGCCTACTTGAGCACATACCCTTGTAGGAGAAAATAAAAATACTCAGTTGAGCCATAAAACATTTATTGTTACAGAGCATTTGCTGGTAAATATTCTATAGCAAAAAAAAAAAAAAAGCTAAATTATTGGTAAATAATTTTCTTTTGAAAATTTCACTTAAGAGGTCAATTTATGGATGCACATTACCTGGGCAGGTAGAGTATCCTGAGTATGAATTTCACTTGCATTGACTGTATCTTTATGAACTTAGTTAACTAAATTTAGAAGTTTCATTACGTCCACGGTGATCCAAGGTTTCAAAGTACATAGAACTAAAATAGGTTCAAGGCATTAACTAGGTCAAAGCAGGTATAAACTAGATATAATACTTTAGATATGAAGTACTTTTGATATAATTTTATTCAGTATATGATCCTTCTGAACTATATATGATCCTTCTGAACTAAGAATGGGAAGGGCTGGCAACATGCCCAGAGCTTCTCCAAGGTTTTAAGTCTTGGGAAGAAAA